ATATGTATATATATATATATATATATATATCATCGCATCAGCATGTGACCGGCTGCTCTTGTGGCTGCCTCCTATATATATTTACAATGTCGACGAATAAAGGAAAAACCATCATTCTGCGGGTGATGAAGAAATATTTGACAAAAATCCCTCTTTATATTATTATCTTTTAATAATAAGTAAGCAAAGTATATTTTAAATTTTACGTTGGTAGTTTAGAGTCATAATTCTAAAGTTGAATTGAATTTTTCCTCATTTTACAACAACTAAATTAAGAATTGAAGTTTTTCCGTGCTAAAAAACGTATTTCTCGATTTATCCTTACAGATTAGCCTGTAAATGTAAAATATTAATACAAAATGTGATTATACCATAATATAATGTTAATACAAAAATGTGATTATACCATAATATATCAATAATATTTTGTCAAATTTTAATCAGTATTAGCTTTTCGCATGTTGAGATATATTACGCTATTTAACGGTCCTGTCAAACTCAGTGCTGGATCAATGATCATGGGTATCATAGTTTTTTCGCATGGTGTTACTTCATACTTGTTCAACATTTTAATGAGCGCCAGTTTTATCAGTAACAGTGCAAAGCGATTACCTGTAAAACATACAATGATATACACAACTCATTAAAAAAAAATTAATTTCTAAATGTTAATTGATTTTTATTTTTCTTATTTTTGCAACTTTGTAATTGAAATCATCAATTCCATAATTCTCTGTAATCGCAGAGTCTAGTTAAACTAAAAAAAGTCTTGAATATTATTGCATAATCACTATCAATGATCATGATCTGAGATTTCATTGCATCAATATTAAGTAATTGTAATATAGGTATCGCAATTTATTTCCGCTGATTTCTTTATTTCTGATTCATTTATAACGCAATCTGTGCATGTAACGAACACCTTAAAATATACGCTACTTAATTTATGTTTTCAAATTCAATTTTGTAATTAAAATACAACAACTCGTACGTAACTTAATTGTCGAAATGTAAAATTTTAGGTTTGTGTAGTTATAAAGTGTGCATTTTCCATTTTTACTGATTTTAATTTCGCGTGCGATTTTAATCTTTTCTTGATGTCATAGTTAAAATCAATTGCCTCACCTATGCACGCATGTGGACCGTCTCCAAAAGGGAAGTAAACGCATGATGGCATATTACGTTTGTTCTCCTCATTGAATCGCTCTGGATCGAATTTTTCAGGATTGGGAAAATATTCCGGATCGTAATGTAGAGCAAGCATTGGAATATAAACCGGCGTATCCTTCTCAAGTACGAGATTAAAATTCGGTATTTGGTAAGTCTCCATTGTCTTACGATTCAGAAATCCCAATGGAGGATATTTTCTTAAAGTTTCCGATACCACCATATCCATGTATGGTAGCGACATGATCTAGAATAAAAATATTATTTTTACCTATATTTAGATATAAGATTTATCAAGTTTTAAAATTTACTCAGGAATGAAATCAATAGACGAAAGAAGTATTTGGTTGGGCAAAAGTATGAACAGTATTTATATCAACATTTTTTCACAGAAATTAATTGGTGGAACATATGATATTAACGCACCACGTCGTATGTAATTTTTCCATCAGAATTGTTGAGCGCTTGGTGTATTTCTTTTCTTAGGGTGTTCTGAATGTCAAGGTGTAATGCGAGTTCATACAACGTGAAAACAATAAGCCCTGCGGACGTATCGAAACCGGCTGAGAAGAAAGTGACCGCTTGCGCCGTGAGAACATCCCCATCGAATTCTAAAATTTAATTTCATTTGTAGAGTTTGAAAAGCCTCCGTTGTTTGCTGCAATTAAAATCGATTACCGTTTGTAAGAAAAATAGCTACCGAACTATTTGAGTAGCGCGCCATAAAGACCAGCGATTTAAAAGACGACAGCGATTTTTATATCATAAATAAGAATATTAATAAAAAAAATGTTAAACGCATTAAAAGTAATATGCAATTAACTAAGTATTTGCTATTGATTTATAATACAACAAAGAAATAACAAGTTTCTTCTAAACTATCGTACGCCGATTTTATTATTTTAATAATAATTTAGTGCGTAAAAAACAAATATGATGACAACACATATAAACACAATATGATACAATATATTTACTTTTATTAATTTTTACATTTAGTTATACAAGTTTCTTATCAAAGCGCGTATTTAGTATAAAGGAATATATTTTACATTTATGGTTTAAAATAAAAAATTCTGTAAATTATTTTAAATAGCATTAACTTTTCGAAAATTGAGGTGCAATACACCGTCTAACGGCACTGTCATGGCTCCTTTTGGATCAATTACTACTGGTACCAAAGTTTCTTTGCACAGTGTCACCTCGCATTTGCTCAAGATCTTAAGTAGTGTTAGCTTCGTTTGTAAGAGCCCGAAGCGATTGCCTGCGAAATGCATATTTAACAGCACCGTATAATATTATATTAACAAAGAAAGGAGAGAAAAAAATTTACATTAATATTTTAATAGAGAGGATATTAAAATCTTTCAATTTTTTTACCTATACATGCATGTGGACCTTCTCCGAATGGGAAATAGACACACGATGGTCTGTTACGTTTGTTCTCCTCATTGAATCGTTCCGGATCGAATTTATTGGGATTGGGGAAATATTCTGGATCATAATGTAGGCCAAGCATCGAAATGTAACATGGTGTACCTTTTTCAATTACGAGATTGAACTCAGGCACTTTGTAAGTCTGATTAGCCATGCGATTTATATATCCCAATGGCGGGTACATTCTCAATGTTTCTGACATCACCATATCGAGATATGGCAATGACCATACCTGGTAATAAAAAATTATATGTACAGACAATTTTTCATTTAAATTATAACAAACAGTAATAAGATTGGCAATAAGATCGTTTATGTTACATACATTACTTTAAATATGAAGTGCCACTACGGTCTCAATGTTAAGATATGTTGAATTATTATATATATTCATTTAAATGAATTACTTTTAGAAATTATAATTGCGTGCTAATATACTTTCAACGCAATCAATCTGAAATATTAATTCCCCCAAATTTTCCAAATTTAATCTTAAAAAACTGTAATAAATTTTTTGCGAAAATATTGCGTCGGCCGGGAGTCGAATCCGAACCTCTTGCATTCCGTACGAGCGTCCTGAAGGTTGTTTCGGTTTCGGTGGTCTAAAGGTTTAGGACGCTCGCACGGAATGCAAAAAGTCCGGATTCGACTCTCGACCAAGGCAATATTTTTCGCAATAAGTTTATTACAGTTTTACAAGATTAAATTTGGAAAATTTGGGGGGATTATTAACAGTAGTGGTGCTTCGTATTTAAAGTAATGTATATAACAAACAGAACAAAACTCTTAGGCTTTATTTTTATTATTAGCTGCACACCATATCGTATGTAATTTTTCCATTAGATTTCTCAAGTGCCTCGAAAATTTCTTTTCGCAGAGCGTTCTGTATTTCAGGTTGCATCGCGAGTTCATACAACGCGAACGTCGTGGTCGTTGAAGAGGTTTCAAAACCAGCTGAGAAGAAACTGGCTGCTTGTGCCAAAAGATCATCACCATCGAATGCTACAATTTACTTCATTTAATTAAATTTTTAAAGGTTTCCAATCCATTCCATTATAATTAATTTTCGTTATCAGAATTATTAGTTAGATCAATTAATTTAATTTATCATTAGATATCATTCTGTTTTTATTAGACATAATTTAAAAAAAAGTTCGTATAAAGTATAAATATTAAATTTTAGTTTACTTACTGAAATCTTTAAGATCGTTATCATTATTATTATTTTTTAATTCGAGAAGAATATCGACGAGATCGTTCCTCTTCAAACCAGATTTCATACGTTGAGTTAGTGTCTCCCAAAAAACTTTGCGCATAAAATCAGTGGGCTCTTTGCCAAACATCTTTATTCGCGTCAAACGGACTAGAGTTGGAAGGAAAAATATTGCGAGCATCTCAAATGCGCGATATGTATCATACTGAAATATCATCTTGCCGTATTTGCGGAATTCTGCGTTTGGATCTTTGAACGAATTCACATCAAGTCCGTAAGCGGTGCTTCCGATTATATCCGTAGCAAATTTGGCGGTTAACTCTCTTACTTCTATTGTCTTTCCATTTCCTGCCATTAATATTACTAGTTTGATTTATTTATCTATGAATATATCTTATTCTAATTTTTATATTTTTATCGACATAAATAAATATGAAAGTTTTTGTTGCGTACATTTACATATAATTAAAAAATGAATTTCTTTTTTGCAGATATAAAATTTTGCTTTCTCATTAAATACTTCCTTCGATTTTTCGACAAATGGTTTCAGTGACGATTTAAATAATATACATAAATAAAAGAGAAAGCGTCAACAAGGTTTTGGCTCAGGATTTTGAAAAATTTTTTCAAAACATTTTTTTTGTATGTAGTCTAAGCCCTTTTTATGACTAATAAGTGAATTAATAAAAATATTTTCGCTAATTATATACTGTTATACTATCATATTAGTGTTATTTCATAATCCAAGGTGAAGATGAATACAACTAATACTAAAAAATAAATTTTTTATTACTCTAGATGTATAAGTGCTCCTAATAAATAAGTGATTATTTGATTATGATTAGTTGCCTATGGACTTAAATCTTTCCAAGTAGCACAGCAGCGCTTGTAAGGCGTTATATACATTTTTTTTAGCGCTTTCTTGACGTTTTATAATTAATGTACATATACTTCTTGTTGAGTATATCACATCAAGATTGTGATCATTGTAAAAGTTTTAATATCTTTTATTTTATTAGTTTGCTATTTAATTCGATTTTATATTTTTAAGTTTCTTTGGAAATATTAAGCACTATAATCGACTTTTAAGCTCTTGATGATGATTGCTCAGAATTCGATGGTTAGGGTTTAGTTACCGTAATAGTACACTTAGATCAATAATAATTAATAATGACTTCGTGGCTCGAGTTTTTTCTCACTAATCATCTAATAATTATTATTTTTAACATTCCTAATCATACAACACAAAAAATTATTTTTTGAAATTATTAAGCAAGCTATTTAAACACAGTTTCATTGATCTACTTGTTTTATATTTTTAAATTGATAAAACTTTTACGAATTACACTTTTACGGGTATTATCTTCAAAGATATTACAAGGGTTTGCGGGTTATCGCTGCGTTTTTATCTATTATTCGCGAAATGCTAACATTTTGTGAAACTTGCCGTTTACTTTATCTTTGCCCCAGAGAGAATCAAGGAAGAATGAAGCGGAGAATGTTCTCTTCTCTGATTCCTCTTGATTGATTCCGCCAATTTATTGTGCACTTCCGCAAATGTGCATGTGTATGTACGTACATACATATATGACATACACACAATATTAGTGCGGTACAATACTAGTGTGTGCAGCACCGTATGTTCTATCACGCTTCTACCATATCTCCAACGATGAACTGAAAATAGCGGCTCCCGGCTGAATCCGCTCCACTCTCCCTTGATCCTGTTTCGCTCTAATGGCTCCTGCACAACGCTTGCCGCATGGCGGAGTTGCCGCGTTCTGTGTGCAGAAGTCATAATTCGCGAAACGTTAGCAGAAATAGATAAAATTACGGCGATAATCCGCAAACCTTCTGGTAATGTTTACAGATTGCATAAGTTGTACACAGGATGGGGCATTTCAATCGTCCTAGGCGAACATCTCAGAAACTAAGAGAGATACAAGAAAAAATTTTATATAAAAATTGTAGGTTTTCAGGTCAAGATCAACATGAATTTTTTAAATGGAACCCCTCATTTTTTTATTGCATATTTTTGTAGCAAACCTTGAGAGCTTTACAAGAATATGCAATAAAAAAATATTTCATTAAAAAAATTCATGTTGACCTGGCCTCCCTTATAAAAAATTCGTTATTTCCACCTTCTTTCTCTCCAAGGAAACCTACAACTTTCATATGAAACTTGTTCTTGTATCTCTTTTAGTTTCTGAGATATTCGCCTAGAGCGATTAAAATACTCCACTATATATTTTGCGCACTAATTATACTGTAGAAAAATTATAGAGTTTGTTAAAAATTCAAAACAAGATTGTTAATAAATTAAGTAATATCTTTAAGTAGAACATCAAGTCACGATAATGTCAAAATGAATAAAAAATGATTGGAAAATGACTTTTAATGATCATTTTAGAGTCATTTGAATATCATAATGACTTGTTGTTCTGTAAAGTTGTTAAGTAAAGTTCATTTGATCAAAAACTTGTTTAATTATTAATTTTTATTATTTTATATATATGTACATATATATAATATGTGTATATATATATATATATATATACACACACACAAAATTACGACATTATAGTATTAGAACTTTAAATTCTTTATATTCTATAATATTTTGTTTCTCATGAATTATTTAACACTCACCTTCCAATTCTAGTGCATCGAGGTATTCATCTAAATTCTTTACACATATTAACATCAAATCAAACATTTTCTTCATTTTTCCAGATGTGAAGAATGGTGTAAGTTTTGTTCTTATTACTTTCCAGGCTGGATTCCTTATAAAAAAGAGATTTGCATAACCTATGCGATCGATCGGATCGGCCGTATTGTATCGATCAGAGAAGTAACTGAAATCTTTCACTAAAATATTCTTGACGAGTTCTCGATTGCGAACCAGCAGGAAGGGTTTGTCCAACACATAGAAGCCCACATAGGGTAGATCCTTCATTTCATCGTAGATATCCTTTAGGAAATATGCCGGAGCTTTCTTCTGGAGTAGACACTCCTTAAAATTGCCAAAGAAAGGTATTGGTGTTATTTCTAAAATGCCTCGTTTCTTCCAGTACTTGAATTTGCGTGTCATGTAAAGGTAGGCAGTTATTATGAGAGTCATAAGAATGATCATGCCATCCAGGCCCCAATAAGCCGTTATCAGTGCCATTTTGTAGCTGTAAAAATATGTTGTTTTGTACTTATGAAAGTAGAGATGCGTTATGTTTCAATTTATAACCAGATTGTAGAAACTTACTTTTACTTAAATGACATGCAATTTTGTAATACATACTTTTTGAAAGATATCTTAGTATAGATATAGGTATTGTGTAGGAAAAGTATAAGTAAGGCTGGGAATTATATGCATGTAAAAACAAGAATATATGCATATATTATATGTATAAAATTTGGTAAAAATATGCAAAAATATGCAATATATTTATTAAATGAAAAGCACAGAAAGAAATAATTGTAAAAATATAATAAAATAAACAAATTAATTAACTTTGAGCAAAAAATATATAAAACAGTATTAACACAAAGTGACATAATTTGAATACAAAAAATTAGAAATATTTAATTTCTCAAAGAATTGTAAATACTAATGACTGTATGAGCAAATATGGAATTTTACAAGAAATATGCTCAAAAAGATACATATATGTAAAATATGCAAAATAAAGGTAAGCTTTAATTTAACGCTTTGCTTTTACGTAATTCGTGTAGATATGCAAGCCGTTTTGTATTTATATTAATATAAAATATGCATTTTTATATCATCCCAGCTTTAGTTATAAGTATAGATATATATTTTAAAAATTATCTAAATATAGATACAGATACAGAGAAATACCTGAAAGGTTTAATTATTTTAAATATTTCTTATGAAAAAAAGAAACTGTGTAAACGAATTTTATTTTACATTAAACTATTACTTATGTTTAATTTAGAAAAATGTTTACATAATTGTCATTTATCATGTTTTTTTTAAAGTGTCAATAGTGTTTCAAATTTCATTGTATGAGAAAAACTCTGTACGTTTCTTATGGATTTTGATTCTCGATCAAATCTTCTTATATTTTGAGAAATTGTAGTTCCAGGTGTCCTGATTAAAAGTGTCAATGGGCGTAGTCTTATTTCGCATGTTATTATAAAATTCAAGTAGATATTTTTTTCAAGTCTGTAGGATCATGTGAAATCAAGTTTATATCGCCCAATATCCGAAATAGAAATTAATCAAGTTTGAACAGTTATATCTCGAAAATTGTTAATTTTAGGAGATTGCGTCCATTGATATTTTTAATCAGAAGGTATATAAAAAGTATCTTTATAGGTACTGTACTTATATGTACACCTAGGTGTGTCACAACACTTATATGATAATATATTAATTATGTTTTAAAAATGAAGATTATATCAATATTTGAAAAACTTTTCGATACATTTATAAATACACATCATCAATCACAAATAATCATCTAGTTCAATCAGTAGTTGTAAGATGTGATATAAAATAATCTAATCAATGTATGATTATTAAAAATACTATTACGAGAGTTAAAACGAACCTATATTAGTAAAATTTACTTTTATTAACAAATTGAATTGATTCTCACCGTTAAGTAAAACACGAAATATTTAAAAACTACAACACAAAATTTTCAATGTAAGCATGACAATTTTCACAAGTTACGAAAGTCGAATAAACTTCTGTATCATCCACGCAACTGTATTTATGCATTGTAACTTCCCTTCCTATTCTCCTTTTGGTTCCGCCTTCACTATATAAATGTATATTATTATTGTAATGTAGAAATTATACACGTAACTTCTCTAATCTCCGTTTTTAACATTTGATGTATCTATAGCTCTGCATTTGCTCATCAAAAAAATGTAATTTTTCATAATCATCTGTAGGCATATTTCCGTTCGTCAGCGCATATTCCGTGTCGTCGTTTGCTTGGTCCCAAACAAGTCACGATAAAAGTGACATTATAGTGACGTCAAAGTGACATTAAAATAAGTCGGACTTTTAGTCATTAATCATCTTGACTTTAGTCTTGACGTTAATCATCTTGACATAATTTTAACATAATATTATAATATTACTTATAAAGAACTAATCGTTTTGTTTACGTCGTTCTATTATAAAAAGAACATTCGAGAAGTTTTACGCGCGAGCCTGTCGCAATAGGAAAATTCCATCGTAATAGTAACCGATGCGCGAGTTCCTTAAATCACGAGGATTGGCTATCAGGAAATTCGCTCGATCACGTATAATTGGACTAAGAACTCTCACTCCATCGCGATAGCGTTGTGCGATCTGCGCGGAATAAATCAGTCGTTGACCAGACGTTGATAGATACGCTATTTTGACAGTCCTTCGGGCAGAACTCATTTTTGTAATCAATTACTTTCATTAAACTGTGGAAGTATGTTACGTATATACATTAATTTTGCAACTCTTCACCCACACATCCTTAATTGTCTATCAATAGAGAAAAAGCAGATACGAACTAGGTAGGAACAAATATTGGATCAGTGCAAAAGTTTGTGCTCGATTTATTCAAACTTTAAATAGCTGTTATTTTTGTTAAAAATAAAATAAAATCTAAATCTCACTCTATCTGATAAGAGAATTTAAGAATCTATTTTTTTTTAATTGTGATGATTTTAATGTAAAGTTATAAGCAATTAAAGTCAAAATATTCATTTTATTTAATTTGCAACAACTCAGTAATAAAAAATCGTAGCCACATTAAAAAAAAATGATTTTGTTGACGGAAAGCTTCAAGCTTTTATGATAGAGAATCGAAAATTTTCACAAATTTTTTTAGGCCCGCTACAGATCTACAGCGAAAAAAAATTTTTCATTTTTTTCAGCTCGTAGTTTACTATATGTAAAAATTACAAAACTCACATAAATTAAAAAAAATATAGTAACCATTCGAAAGTAGAGATTTCAAGCCCTTTTTTAAAAATTAAATTTCGTTTATTTTTAACAAAATTGCAGCTGTCTAAACTTCGAATAATAAATCGGACACGAACTTTTGCACGGATCCAATAATTCGATTTGTATAACATTGTGGAACACTGATTTTGTCTTTGCCTTGCGAAGTATTTTTTGACGCTGAAAACAATACTGTCTCCAAAATTTGTCTGTCATGTCACATTTCTGGAGAAAATTGAGATAATATAGCCGAAAATTTTTAGCCACTTTTGGAATGAAATTGTAAAACGATCTTTTATATATATTAAACACAAACCAAGAGTGCGGTCGAGTTGCCGCTACGAAGCATTTTTTGATTGGTAAAATTTTATTTACAATTAGTAAAATTTTTTCTTCCGATTGATTAATCAAATGCTTCAAAGCATTCGTAGTGGCAACTCAAGCATACCGTAGAAGTTACGTAGATTTGAAGTACGCTGTCGCGCTGTCGCGTTCACTTGGTGCGAAACACTACTGTGTCTTTTGATCATGTATACACTGTACTGAAATGTAACCACGAGTTTTCCTTACATGTTACTAAAGCTCGATTATGAACGAAATTAAAAGTAATAAATAATTTATCTCAGAGCTCAATCAGAGCAATATTTGTATCTCTCAACTGATTTTTCATTCGGCTCCGCCTTCCTCTAATTTCTTGCCCCACGCACGCGCAGAAAATGCCATTCGACACTTAGGAGCATATAACGTTCGTAAATATGAGAAACAATTCACTCGTTTTCACGCTATAAACTTCATTCTATCTGTTTTTTCGCTCATTATATAATTAAGACAGAATGAAGCAACGTGTAAACATTCAAAGTAAAATACATCTAATAAATTTTCAGTTAGTTAGTTTTCCACGTCGCCCTACTATTATTGATGCGTTTTTTTTAACTGTCTCCAGTAGGTCCACTGACAAAAATGATGAATAGTAAGACCAAGTAATTAAACACAAACGGAGTGAAATAAAAAATACTTATTCTGATTGTCGAAATCTTTTATTGGCGAGATCAGAAACGTCGATTTGTACGTAGCGAGCCGTATAAGACGAGGCAAAGAATCATCGCTCAAGAAAGAACGTCTCTCATTTTTTATAAGCTTCATTTTTTAAAAGAATGTCTCGCATAAATATGTAGATCTTAACATGGAATGAATCCGAAATCACGAAGCGTGGGTTATGATAATTCTTTTAACATTTTGTAAAAATCGGCACCAGTTTCTTTATATATATATATAACCGTTTTAAACGAAATATCGTTTAACTACAAATCACATAATTCATCATAATTAATTAATGATAAATGAAAAAAAATTAGAAATAAATTATACAGAATGATAAATCTCTGGTATTTTAAAATGATAAGAAATATCATTTTAAAATACTGGAAATAAAAAAACACGCATATTTCTAGATATTTTTATAAAAACATCTTTATATTGTATAATAATTTATGTATACATGTAATTACGTATAAGCACTTTTTTATTTCTTCAACTTGACTTTTTGTAAAAGAAATGATATGAAAATTATCATATACATTTTATATATTTATAAATATTGTTTCCTAAACTTAAAGATATAAAGTGTACTTAAAAAATATAAATACATGAAGATTCAGTATTGTTTAATAATCGGTATTCAAATTTTTATTAAAATAGAAAATAGAACGACTCATAAAAAAATCTTTTTAAAATAGAAAAAATGTACGCCAAGTACATAAAAAAAATATTGAATATTACGTTCCTTTTAATAAAAAACGGATATGAAATAAATTAGCCAAGTATTTCATAACGCAAGACATATAAGATAGATAAGAAAGTAATTAAAATGGTCAACTGGATTATAGTGAAGAAAAAACTTGAGCACGCCAAGTTTTTTCTTCACTATAATCCAGTTGACCATTTTAATTGAGTTCTCGAGATAATAGATAACAAACATTAATTAAAAAATACGGACGACTAAGTAATAATACCTCAGTAATTGGTGTATTTGATCTTGATAATAGTATATTTCACTTCTTACATGACAAACCGGTCGAATATTTTAGTTCCATTCGAGCCATCTTCAGCGATGAAGTAATTATTATATATGATGTTCTTGGTTAATATCAATGTGTGTGATGTATTAAATCGAAGTGTGCAGTAAGAAGAGTCTCTTAATTTTCAATTTTAAGAAAGTGACCGTCAAGAAGCTGTACGGCTAAATGATCGCTACTGCACTTCTTGACTGCATGCTTGAGGGCCTTATAAATTCGTTAAATAAATGAATGATCGATTTGTCATGTAAAAAATAAAATATATTATTGTCAAGATCAAACGCACCAATTACTGCGCTATTACTGCTTCCAGTCGCCTGTATTTTTTAATTAATGTTTGTTTTATTAAATTATTTTACTATCAATTTTTAATTAGCATTATTGTTAATTCTGCGGATGTTGAGATGCATAGTACCACCCAATGGCGTTGTGGAGGAACTAGCTGATTCGATAACCATTGGTATTAGAGTTTTTTTGCATGGTTCCACCTCGTATTTCCTTAAAATTACAATAATTCCCAGTTTTGATTGTAAAAGTCCCATACGAAAACCTACGGAATACATAACAGTATATTATATATACTATGAGACGTTTTACAAATTATTCTAATAAATAAGACAAAAGTTAATGGCATTGCCTCAATAAATAATAGAAAAATTTATATATATATATATATGTAACCTTTGCAAAATTATAATTAATATAAGTAAATTTTAGTTCAAAAATTCAATTGGATAGTGTCTACATCATTCTAATGAGCGTATTTACATATACATATAGAATTTATGATTTATATAACAAGGCAAAGAATGTAAATTTGTGCTTTAGCTTTAATTTTTTATTTAGGTTTCATTCTTCATTTTACACATGTATTGTATAATTCTGTCAAAACTTGATTTCTGTCACAATCGATGTTCTTACCTATACACATACGTGGTCCGGCTCCAAACGGAAGATAGACACATGACGGTCTATTACGTTTGTTCTCCTCGGTGAATCGTTCCGGATCGAATTTATCTGGAGTAGGATAGTATTCCGGATCGTAGTGCACACCAAGTAACGAAATAAAAATTGGTGTACCCTTCTCGAGAACTAAATCGGAATTAGGTACCTTGTAAGTTTCCTTCGTTATACGATCTAAAAACGGCAATGGCGGGTACATTCTCAAAATTTCGGATACTACCATGTCGAGATACGGTAACGACTTTGTAACCTGTTGGCATGCAAATAAGATAAATACTTTAAACTAGCTCGGTATATTTCTCTCTCTCTCTCTCTCTCTCTCTCTCTCTCTCTCTCTATATATATATATATATATATATATATATATACATAAGTTATTTCTGTTTTATGCAGTATGAGATTTTTTGATAGTAAAAAAGTAACGCATGATTTGCATACCATGTCGTATGTAATTTTGCCATCGGTTTCGTCGAGCGCATTAAGAATTTCTTTTCTAAGCCTGTTTTGTACTTCTGGATGTCTTGCGAGTTCGTATAAAGTAAAAGTCACTGTTGTTGAAGAGGTTTCGTAACCAGCTATAAAGAAAATAGCTGCCTGTGCTAGTAGATCGTCGCCATCAAATGCTAAAATTTTAATTCGTATTTTTTCTAAAATTTCCATTTCTTAGTTCTTACTATAATTAATTTTAGCTACTGCAACTATTGCTTAGACAAATTGAATGAGATTTCTGATTTTTTAATGCAAGTCAATTATATACTAGCTTGAAGAATTATTTTCTTACTAAATTCTTTTTCACTGTCCTGATCTCTGTAAATCTTTCCTTTTAATTCAATAAGAGCATCTATGAGATCATTTCTCTTTTTACCAGACTTTATGCGTTGAGTGATTGTGTGCCAAAACACATTACGTAAGAAGACAGTAACTTTCTTATTAAACAATTCTGCATTGATAAAATAAACTAAACTTGGTAAAAAGAATATCGCGAAAAACTCGATAGAGTGTAAAACGCTGATCTTAAAAATTTGTTTGCCATACTTTGGGAACTCGTTATCTGGATTATTTAACGAGTTCACATTAAGTCCATACGCAGTAGTACCAACTATGTCCATAAAGAATTTGGAGGATAAGTCTTTCACGTCCAGTTCAATGTTTTTATCTGCCATCAATATGTTGATTTAATATTTATATTGTTGTTTCAATTACATCATAGTATGACTTTTATGCGTTTTGACAATTGGTAACTTTCAGTACTTACCTTCCAATTTTATCGATTCGAGATACGTATCTAGATTGTCACCGCATTCTAACATCAGCTCGAACATTTTTTTCAATTTGCCAGATGAGAAGGTTGGTGATAACTTTGTTCTTAAGATCTTCCAGGCTGCATCTTTGATAAAGAAGAGACTGGAATAAGCCAAACGATCAGTCGTGCTAGGTGTGGCGAATCGATCAATGAAGTAATCGAAGTCTTTTATTAAAATATTTTTAATAAGTTCTCTATCGCGAACCATTAAGGATGGTTTGTTTAATATGTAGAAACCGATATAAGGCATTCCTTTCCCTTGATCATAAAAATCTTTCAGAAGATAGCCAGGAGATTTCTTTAGTAATAGGCAATCCTTAAAATTGCCCAAAATTGATATCGGTAGTGCATGCAAAACGTTCCGCTTTTTCCAGTAATTGAATTTGTGCGCCATGTAAAAATGGACAGTTATAATAAGAGTCATCAGAACTATCATGACGTCCAGGCCCCAGTAAGCCGTTATAAATGCCATTGTAACGTGAAAATCACCTGAAAAAATATCTCTTTATATTTAATTAAAGAAAAGAAATGATTAATATAATATAGTAATCTGTTTTTCGTTAATGTTTATTATTAAATTGTTATATTATGCTATAATATTATATGTTAGGCAATAATATAAATATTAACTTGTAAGCCACAAATTTTGATTATACTATACAAAACAAATCTAGATATTTTGAAAATATCTACATCGCTTAATATTTGGTTAACTTAATTTATAAATTTTAAGCGTGCGTATTAAAGCACATAAACTTCCAAACTTTTAATTTTTTTGTTAAACTCGAATTTATATATTAATATTTAAACATTCGATGATTTATTGAATAAAAAATAATTAATGAGCCTAATAATTTAATTTTAATTTTAATTTAGTTTATTGCAAAGCTATATAAAAAAGACTATATTAACAGAGTAATATGCAGACATAAAATATTGTGCAATAGACTATAGTTAACATAAGCATAAATACAATAGACAATAGTAGCTTGCAAATGATTAGGCGTCAGCAAAATTGCTATTAAAGCCTATCAGTAACGAAACCAGAATATAATCCAGCGTAAAAAATTTAATAAGATTTGATTTTTAAATTAGCTGATTATGCTATCAGATGTCGCTAACAAGACGCTTTTGTGCAAAACAATACGTCTTTGTTGGCAATCTTTTTAATATGTTTATTAATCTTTTAAATAAACTTTTTTTAAAATAATTTTTTAAATATCTTTTCAGAAAGTGCCCAATTTTCTTTTGTGTTATAGAATATAATAACTTTTTCTTAAGACAGAAATGTAAAAAGTGGAAATTTTGTTAGTATTAATTGAACAATCTTACACTTTCCATATTTTTACCATAAAGAAGGTACTACATGATCGGTATCTTAGTACCAAAATGACTCAGTATTGAAAGATATTAATAGTGTCGGAAAATAAACAACCAATTCTTTCAAATTTTTCTGTAAATTGCTATACATATATACAATATTATATATATATATATATTATACGTTCCAAAAGAAATTGTTAATATACTTTTTTGTGCAGTGCACAATTTGTATATCTGTTTGCGACGCGCGACGGTCCAGATTAAATAAAATACACAACTCACTTAATCAAAGTCAATTCGATTTCTGGCAATTATAAGAATTGGATAAACATTTTTCATATGTGTGAAAATATTTATACATTTCAATCCCTTCTATTTGCGAATATTTTTTACGTTTTAAATTTTAGCCCCTCTATTTCCAATTTGTTTTCAAGCGATAATGTTAGAAATTTTTTAAAAATATTTGTGATGACTTGAAAACACATAATTTCAAAATCTAAAAAGATTTTGAAATTATGTGTTTTCGCTTTCATTAATGTTATAAATAGCAGTTTTATCATTATCACGTAACTAATATATCTGTTGATAACTTCTTTTTGTTCGAGATATAAAAGAAATCTCTCTTCCTTCAATTTACAGTATTATTTTTGCATATTATTACGTACAAATTTGATTACTTATTTTCAACTTTTGTAAATATAATAAAATGAAAATTACATACTTGTGTTAAAAACATCAGAAAAGATGTTTATATAATTATATATATGCACAAGAAAATATGCAATTTTTTTTATTGCACTTCCAGCAAAAATGTTACATTTACAATTATATATTATTATAAATAATTATATAAATATACAATTATATAAAATTATATGTAATTATAAATAATTGACATCTTTTATATACAATTATATATAATTATACATAAAATATGTCTATATATATAAAATATTTTTTCCCCGGGGAAAATAATAACATATTGCATTTATAATTGTGACTTGCAGCTTTTACAGACATGACTAATTAATAAAATCTCATTAATAAGTAATTACGCCATTAACGATTCATTAAAAAAAATAATACAAATTAAAAACAGATTACGTTGCATATAAATCATAACTCGTGACATTAATTGAGAAACGTTGCGTGAAAAACATGCAATCAATACATTTTTCAATAATATTTTATTTTTAAAAAGAGTTAAGATATCGCACATATGTAGCGTAAATGTAATTAAAGCTAATGATTAAACCAGTTAAAAAAATTAAAAATAGAATCATGAAAAAATATTTTTAACGTAAAAATACATCATAAAAATCAACCAATTGTTATAAACAAATTATTAAGTATTAACTGTGAAAGAAAACTGATTACGTTAACTAATTTTATGGAAAAAGTTATAAAAAAGCACATATAACTTTTATTTAATCGTTCTTCATTTATGCACAAAAAAATTAAATATTACATATTATTGAAACTACTTTCTATTATTTGGTTATAAACTTACGGGATTCGGACAGTGATATGTGGTTACAGTTATGGCCAATGGACTCAATCACGAATCAAAGTCTATACCGAGCGCGTCAGACACAGCAATTTAACATGACGAAAGCTAACGAAGAAATGTCCCTCTCTCAATTGCTTGTTCGACCTCATACTCGGATAAAAACTATTTGTTTTCAGTCGTTCGAGAAAGCTTCGAAATTTAAATCTAAGCTCTCTCTTTTTACAATATATGATTCTTCAATTTAATTTCCTACGCGAGATGCAGCGATTGGATCTCATTTTCCTAGTGAGTTACAGCATGTGCAATATTGCGCTTGACTGCAATGTCGGGTTGTTTGACACATGCTCAGATAGATAAATATAATTTAAACGCGACGCTGATTATTACTCGCTTCCGCTGTTTATGTTCGATTTAACCGGCTCGTATCTGTTTCTCTGTTGTCCTTTTTTTTTTATTCGAACAGCTGAGCAGATTTTCGATATTCGCGTGTGCTCTCTCGTAATTTCGAGAATACGATAAAAATTATATCTTTGCGAAATGTATTTTTAGCTGAGATAATAAGGATATAACCGTCACAATTGTATAATATATTTACATGGTTAGAGCAGAAAAATTAGCAAAAAAAGAATTGCAAAAATTTTACGTATTTTTTTTGTAATTTTTCTCACAGAAGCAATTAACGTAAGTATCCCTTTACAGAATTTACAATCAATATTTAGTAGGAGTTTTCCAATTATATCATTACTTATTTCGTGCACGCGGCGATATAAGTTGTGTTCTAGTTGCGTAATAATCTATAAAACATTACATATCTGTACTCAGCCTGAGAATTATTGATCGACTGTGTAAGCTTATATTTTCTAGTGATAACATTACATATTAATCTCATTTGCAATTCGTAGAGATTATAAATGAGGTTAATGCGATGTTGAATGATCATTTTTGGTTTTTTTATTTAATACAATACAGACGGGAGAATCTATATTTAATTTAATTTTATCCGGAATTGTCAATAATATTATTATTTATTTTGGTAAAGTTATAATTGCCTTGTGGAAATATTTCCAATCTTTTTATCTATATGTCTGAAATTATTTCAAGCAATGATTAAGATATTTGATAAGCATTGATTAAGAATTTTGATAAGATTTTATTTTACATCTATTTTAAATATCTACATTCTTTTTAGATGAAGAGTTGACCCTAACATTGCAGATAAATGAGAACATCCGTTCTAAATCAGCATATATTTTTAAATCGAATCAGTGAAAACAATAAATTAACAATACTCTCGCGACATATGCTCTTACTATGTATCAAGCTGTGCATTGTTTTGTATGCTGTTTTCCGCGTGTTTTTCCACTAATAAAGTTTCCATCGTTAAATTTCAATTCACGGCGCACTCCAAAGCATATCTTAAATGTTGACGTGATAGGCTAAATTGCCATTCGTGAGAGCTCGTATTTTCCAGACCTACGTGCAGGTGCGGTGCACACGAATCAGTGTACATAGGGTGTCTCGAAACTGTCACACTTTCCGATTAGAGATATTAGAATTTGGAAATAATTCATCAAAGAGTCCGCATAGAATTTCTTCTTCGACTATCATCTAGTAAATTATATTTTAGATAAAAAGAATTTATTTGTCTTAAATACATATTTCATATTTTAATACTTAAAACAGATGTTAAAAAATTATCAGAATTATAAAGTTCAACTTTGATAGAATTAAACTGTTACTTGTGTAAAATAAATAAGCAAGGGAAAATTGCAATTCTAAGAGTAAAAAAATAAAGATTTAAATTTCTTTTAATCGACAGTCGCTGTGGCTAAATAGTTTCGAACTTACGAAGAAAAACAATTGAAGGCAAACGTGATGGTGGTTTCGAAACACCCTGTGCATGCACATGTAGCCGCAGGAGGACAAACTCGGATACACATATTAGGAATGTAACGTACTAGCAGGCACTTGTAATTTCTGTTACCGGGCGAAGTATACTTATCGTACAACACATAATTTACTGTGCTGTACGTGAAAAAGTTAGACACGCATCCCGTTAATTTTAGGGTACAAGGCGAATTAATGACGTGGGAAGTGATGTCGACTGCTACATAGTAAACGATAATCGATGCATGATGATTGACAGAAAGTGCCAACAGTGCTGTGTTTTGCAAATTTACGAGCTGATTGATAGTAAATCGCGACACGTAAAAGAAGTAGTAGGATTATTAGGATGTAGACAGGAAGAAAATCATGTCCACTTTTAACATTCAGTGTAACTTCAATACTATAGGTATATAATTTTGCACGAAGACTCGTAACTGTAAAGTTTTAATGCAACGTATTATCTTGGGCTTCAGAATTATAAGTTCTGAAGCCTGAGTTAAGATGAAATTCATTTTTTTCTTCTTTTTTTAAGTTAAATTCAAGCGTCTGGTTTCTATTTTTTATATACAAATCTTTAAATGAAAAAATATAATTTTACATATCTGACTTTCATATTATATGTTTCTCCTTCATAAAAAAAAAATTATTAAGTTGCTTTATTAACATTTTATATATTATGTTATAGAATGTACATATAAGTGTATTATTTACCTTTTTTCATTATGAATGTTATTCAGACTACAATTTCATTAACTACTGTTCTTTCTTTTAATTAAATTGAGAATCTTCAAATTAATTATTTTTCTAGATATCAATTGTCAGATGTTCACCAGCACAGTTTCTCGAGATTGCAACAAACACTTATCTATTCATGCAAGTCATAGGAAAGTTTCGCCACTCTGATATATAAAAAAGTCTGTGATTCTCGTCAAATATAATGACACATTATTACGCAATTTGCCTGTACGGCTGTACCTCGTGTTAAATGCAACGCGTTAAATACAAACTCTTATTGTTAAATATCGGGAATCTTCTATTACATGACAAATATATCGTCACGTGACAAACGTGCCTGCATGTTGCAATCTCTAGCGATTACGCCATTTATCATTGAGACAGAATTACGCTGCTGGGACAAAGTTGCAGCGCGTCTGTTATCAGAAATGGCAATCCACCCAATGGTAACAAGGACGATAAATAGTCCGCAGTCGAGAATAGAAATTATTTTTCCGGCCTCTAATCGCAATCATTTAAGTGCCATACAGTGTGTAAAATAATATGAGTTTAAAGAGAGACGCCGAGATTGGACCCCCGATCGCCAGGAAGAGGCGGCAGCTACGATCCGCCACCATGAAGTAACTCGGTAGCCAGTATCCGCGTCGAATCACGTGAGGTCACCTGAAAGGACCCGGCTACTGTTTCCGCGCACGCGATCGCTATGCAGCACGCAGGGCCTAATTTCCCGTGCGTGGAATTCTCTCAGCTTCGACGAAGGCGAAGGTCCCCGCCGATTTCTCGTGGGTGCAGTTCTTCCGCGAACGGGTTCCCGGCGTGTTGCGCGACCAGTAACAAAGTAGCGTGTTAAATATACACTCTCTTCGCTTTCGGGCCTCTATACTCATTTATGAACTTCCAAGAGAAGAAAGAGAGAGACGGTGAAGGAGAAAACGAGAATAGAGGAAGGTGGATGCAATGAGGAATTCTCTCGTGCAAGCTCGCGCACGCGAATCTTCACCTTCACTCTCACCCTCGTTGTAACGAGACTTGTACGTTATATCCGGTAGTACACGCGCGGAGAGGCCGATGATATTCTGATGAGGTGAGAGGCGCGGAAGAAAATAGTTGCATGAAGAGATGAAAGGGTGGGAAGAAATGAGAGGGTGATAATTGAAGTAATTCACTAATTATAACATGTAAAAAAATAAAGCCAACGAAGAGCAAGTTTACGACGTTATAAAGAGTCAATTAATTTAGTAATCTAATAATTTTTATTGATACATAATCAGAGTACCGAATGTTTTGACTACACGGAGTGTCTCCTTCGGCGGTATAAAAAAAATTTCAAAACAATATTCGGAATAATATTTATTATTACATGTTTTGCATATTACAAAGTACATAAATATTTACTTTTGATATGTTAAAATGACTGTTATTTCACGAGAGATAATGACTAAAAGTCAATATTCCTGTTTACGACCGAAGAGCCGGATGAAAAGTGCCGATAAAATCACGTTCTGCCACAGATTGTGCACTGCGATTTTTATACGGTACTATGAAATTCCGATGATTATTGTTACAACGGCAAGACGTCGGTAAGGGATTACAACAAAAAGAATTCTGCAAAGAGAGTGGACATACCAGCGTTTTAAATAAAACCTGTTTACTAGCGCCTCTATGTGCGCACAGAGCGTGAAATACGTATATCTAGTGTATATTTCTGGCAGATAACATATCCACGATCTCCAATTTCGTCGTGAAAAACGCAAGAAAAGAACCGAGGTGGTCCTCTGTAGGAAGATCTATTTTTGCCGAATAAAATTTTGTTTGTAATCGCAAATTAAAAATATATAGATACAGTTTAGATAGAAAAATTTTAAGTTCTGTCAATGGCTTCCTGATTGCAAATACATTCGATAAAAATGGAGCAACGAAAATAAAATGATTGCATATGTGATATAATTCTAACTTTGCGAAAATTTTATCGTAATTGTATTCAGTCAAAACAGAAGAGCTTAAAAAATAAAAACTATTTACACACTCTTTCTAAACAAATGTAAACGTTTAGCAATAATATTATATTTAATCTTCTCAGTTTTTTTTTTTATATATGTGTTGTATAGAGACATTATTTTTTATATTATATATATTCTTGACGGTTCTATAATATTCTTGACATTTTTAATTCTGTTTTTAGGTTTAAATAGTTCCGGTTTTTAATTATTATTTTTATAAAACATATTGTTATGCAACTGAATTCTATAAATCAAACAACGTGTAACATAAAATCATAAAAAGACTATTACCTACCGGAAAGATCTTTGGCTAGGTAGTTCAACGTTTCGTGTGTACACATAGAGGCGCCAGTAAACAGGTTTCATTTAAAATAAGGATAAAACATCTATTCTTGGACTCTTTAATACTGAAGTCCCGATTCAAGTAAAAGTTAGTTGAATCCACTTTGAATAGATGGCAGGAAAGAGTTGATTCGCAACTTACTCCTAAAACTGTTCTTTGATTCGAATTGACTGTTTACTTTAATCAACAGATTGTCTCTTTCTTTGCATTTGTAATCACTATAATTAAGTAATAAAAAATTTAACAACAACAAATTGATGAAAGATTCATTAAATTCTTTTGTTGATGATTCTCACAATAAATCCCTCAACAATTCGTATAATAAACCTCTTTCTTGTAGATTACGGGAAAATAAATAAAATTAATAAAAATAATATATGTCTAAGTCTTAGAAATAATTCACAAGCTAACATTATCTAATAACGCAAAGAATTCATATTTTATTAAGAAGATCAGCATTAAAGATTTTGAAGAAATGACAATTAACAATCTGTCATCGTAGAAACAAGAAGTAGCATATAAGGACAAAAAATTTCTTTAATTGAAAACTTGCAAATATAATAATTTGTGTAATTTATCCTGTATATGTCTGTGAGACGTATAATAAAAAAATAGACTTTCAAGATGCAATATTTGTGAATCTTTGACACGAGAACGAAAGAAATGGATATTCGATCTCACATGTGCGAGATAATAAAGGGTGAAAAAATAAAACGGTGGCCCTAAAGTGAAATGTGAAAGAGTTAAACACGTTAAAATGACGATTCGCAGAATATATCGGAATGAAAATGAGCGTCAGCCGAATCTCAATTCCACCTGTGCTTTTGCATCCGCAGCCGAACGCGAGATCATCTTTATTTCATTTCGTACCTCCGAAATCATTTCGCCGATTGTCCCATCCCTTCTCCTCGACTCCTTCAATCCCCTTCGCGCCTCCATAGAGCCACGGGCGCGGATTATACGATATCGCGTCGGTCCGTCTCTCATGAATTAGGCATCGGACAAGTTAATGAAAGTTTTCCCAGGCAATTTCGTGTAATAATAGAGCAGATCGCCGCGCCTCTTGGATAGAAAACGATGTGCGTGTATGCGTGAGCAGGCGCCTACTAATAAAATGTGTCCGAAGCAACCGAAGTTGCGCGACCTGACTACAGAAAATCTTATTTAAACGAGAAAGTTCATGCATGTATGTATGTACTTCTTCTTTGTAATACTCTTTTATTTATCTCACAATCAAAAATAATTAAAATAACTTATAAATTCGAAAAGCAAAAGAAAGATCTATCGAAATAAAATAATTGAAAATTAAAAAAGAACTTGATCATACAAGTATAATTGAATGCCTTTTTTCCGCATGTCACGTTCCTGATTCGATCAACAAGATTATTGATATTTTTTAAATAAAAATAAACACACATTATTGGAGAGAGAGAGAGAGATATCACGTAATAATGACTCAATCCCTTGACTTTAACTATAACTTTTTGTTATATGTTAAAATGTAAATCAATTTCCATAATTAGTTTCAAAGTAAATAACGTCAACGCACTTAGTAAGCAATAAATTAAATTTGACTCAATTTCAGTCAAATTTAATACATTTTCTTAAGTTAAACTGTTTAATTCCATTGTTTTGAATTAATACTGAGTAGGAGCGGTGGCGACCTATAGAAATAATAAAAAAATAACTGAAATTCAATATAATTTGATATTATGAATTTAATAGAGCGGGGCATTTCTCGTTTTAAAAAATTCACCTGCGAGCGCAGTATTTTTTGAATGTTATTAATTAAATTATTTTTTATTTATTATCACTATCTAAATTCTAGTCTCTCGATAATACGTATTAACGTGCGATGTCAGAGTGATAAGCGGAAGATAAGCACCGATAGGTACTCCGATAACGTCGTGGTGTCGCAGCTAATGTCGTGTCCTGACTGACGCATTTATGCCCGACGTCGGTCGCGACGATGGATCAGTGCGCCGGCATGCGTGATGCATGATGTTTAATGCATGCCGTTT